ACGTAAACATCTTTCTGGTACTCTCTGCTTTCAGCCAGGATCCATCTGACATCAGCAATGATATCTTTTGTTACATATCCTCTTTTGAATTTAGCCTGAACCTCTGGTAGCTTCCTGTCAATGTTCTGCTGCAACCCTTGGTGCATGATCTTCAGCAAATTTGACTTCTCGTTAGCAGTAAATAAAGCGCTAGTAGTATTAAAATTGGCATTTTATATTGACTTCAAGTGCTTGATATAGGCTTTCTAACTGCAAGGCTGGTGGTTTAAACCCACCAGCGGCTCTGCTGAAGAGAGCTGAAGCTGTCTGTCAGTGTCAAGACTTATAGCCTCAGAAACCCGGGGATCAGTTCTACTCTGTATTACAATGAGTTCAACTTGATGGCATTGGATGTGATTTTGGATTTGCATTTGTGTGACAAAATCAGATCCCTGTTTTCTTAGTTTTGGAGTCTTGGTAGAGAAGTGGTTGTGTGTTGGGCTGCTAATCATGAGGTCAGTAGTTCGAATTCTCCAGCTGCTCTAAAGAAGGAAGATGAGGTTTTTATTCGCATAGAATTAGCTCAGAAACACACAGGAGCAGTTATACTTGGTGCTATAGGGTGCTTTGAGGGGACATTGACTTGATGGCAGTGAGTCGGGTTTTTGTCTTTTTTAAATTTAGATCAGTGGGAGGTAGATTGGCTTTACAAATTAAAATATGTAAATATTAATTACCACGTCAAAGGTGAAAACTAGGCAAAGTTAAACCTGTTCTACTGAAGTTATTGTAGTTTCCTTCTGAGAAGTAATTATTCCTATTTTACATCATTGGCAGAGACACCATGGAAGTGTTCTAAGCAAGGAAGAAAGATAGGACAGGGAGATAACGCTCTCTTTTTTAAGTCACATTTTTACAGAGTAGCCTCTATGTCTGTTACTAAAAGTGTGATTGTATAGAATACCACAGAACCCATTAGAATGAAAACAGAAAGAATGGAAAGCCACTTACACATTGTTGGTTCCCATGATGTGTTCAGAAGACTATCCCTTTCTGAGTCAGACAAAGATTCAATTGTTTTCTCTGCTAGTTATCTGCTGTTGGCTGTGGGCGGTTATTTGACCTCTTTGCATGTCAGTCTTCACTTTTAAAGAGGGGAAAATATTGATACAAATAGCAACTTCATTTTTGCATTTTCAGTTTCTCCCTTTCCACCAGTGCCTTCTTATCAGTGCCAACAGGAATAAGAACCACAATAAAATTCTACACCAACACTCCACAAAAGTTGCTCCTCTGGTATGCCCTCTTTTTTCTTTTTAAATCATTTTATTCGGGGCTCATACAGCTCTTATCACAATCCATACATACACCCATTGTGTCAAGCACATTTGTACAAATGTTGTCATCATCATTTTCAAAACATTTTCTTTCTGCTTGAGCCCTTGGTATTAGCTCATAAACCCCCCCCCTTCTCCTTCCCTCCCTCATGAACCCTTGATAATTTAGAAATTATTATTTTCATGTCTTAAACTGACCACTGTCTCCCGTCACCCATTTTTCTGTTGTCTGTCCCCCTAGGAGAAGGTTATATGTAGATCACTGTGATCAGTTCCCCCTTTCTCCTACCACCTTTCCTTC